TATTTAAGGTCGCATCAACATCTAGGTCATTAGCGACCACTAATGGATTTAACGTTATAGTTACTGTGAAGATGATATGATATGGTGATGATAGGGGATAAAAGGACTAACACAAATACAACCATGCCCTATGCGGGACTGGAACCCTCGATCCTTCGGTTCGATATCGTTTCGGCAAAACTGCCTTAACGATCTCGGCCATCCGGATCGACCCCCGATCTCTGTTTAGGTAACGAGTTACACTTTCATCACTTAGGACTTTTCATATCAGACCCTTTACTAACCTTAAGTGACGATTCCGATCTTCAACGCTTGTTGGATATTTACAAGAAACAAATTCGAAATTTTATAACTTTACTCATTTTTTTCAATTTACTTTTAGTCGAAACATGAATGTAAATAAAATATTTTAGCTATATTCTGTAGGATATCGCTGTACTTTCTCTTTTAGATTCATCTGACAAACATAGACAAAATGGTTTTGGGGAACAAAAACATGTCAAAGTTATATATTTTGAGATTTTGGTATCAATATATGTTACTAATTCCCTTTACACACAGACATTTAAAGAGAATTATGCGTCTCTAACAAGATGAGCGACGTTTATTGTTTGTTTAGATACCCATGAACGCAGGAAAAATCCCAAAACCATTAAACAGCTTCAATTTTGACTAAAATATGCAATATGAAATCGATTCTATTATATCGCATATTCTCATACTGCGTGTACCGACTGAATTCTCACACTCAGTGCGTCACTTCTTAAGGCCTAACATCATACGAAAGTAAGGTTCCAAGAAAGAAGCCGTCCGCCCTTTCACATGCTGCACTATTCAACCTTTCTGATATTCTTGGTATTAAATAACTGCCATGCTGCAAAAATAGACTACACCTCGTTATTGCAATATTCGTCAAAAAAATCGTCGTATTAAAAATTTAAATTGTTACAGTTTTATACGGGAGAATTTTTTATTTTTGTTCTAGAACAATTTGTGTGTGAAATTTTTGAAAGAGCATTTTCAATGGCATTGTTCGGAAGCAATTTTTCTGCTGGAGGCCACTAGCATCTAATAGTTTTATTAATTTTAAATGTTACGACCCTCAATACATATAAATCGTATTTCGTCAGATTGTATGTATAAATTTAAAAAATGTAAAGTACTAGAGTACTTCTCTAGTGTGGTATATCATTCACTACCGACAATGCACTCTAGTGTACACAATTGAGTAGCTCTTCAAAACATTTTCTCCAAAAGAAAAAGTCGCATCAAAACATTTACTTCCGCACAACCTTGTCTGACATCATTTACATTCATATTAGATTATACATTCATAGTTACAATTTTTTCGCCACTAAGCAAAAATCAGGACTGAAAGTGTTAACAAATAACTTGTAATATCTAATTACAGATATTTCTCAAATGCTCTATGCAATCATATTTCATAATCCGTGATGATCAATTTTCTTAAAGTCAGTTCTTTATTTTTTTTAAAAAAAAAGATAATTACGGAAAAAAATAATTTATCGCGTGTGATGTATAGAAAAGTACACTGCAATTTTGCAGACAAACTTCAGCAGCCCTTCCCTTAGCTACTCCACAGCATATAACAAAAGGATTTCATAGTGCAAACTATATACAAAAATTGTGTAGTGCACTAAAACAGAGCTTCCGGAACAGTATGGAAGTACAGGCATTTATTGTACCTAAACTAGGCAGCCAAAAAGGCATTTATTATACTCAAAATAGGCAGGCAGAAAGGCATTTACTTAATCTGCAATAGGCAGGAAGAAAGGCGTTCATTTTACGTAAAATAGAAGGCACAAAGGCATTTTTTACCTAAAATATGCATGCAAAAAGGCATTTGTTTTACCTAAAATAGGCAAGCAAAAAGGCATTTATTTTACCTAACATAGGCAAGCAAAAAGGCATTTGTTTTACCTAAAATAGGCATGCCAAAAGGCTTTACTATACGTAGGCAAACTAGGATCAGAGACAATACTTAAAAGAAGGGAGGGATTCCTCACGAGCGAACAAAGCCTGCCAGCATCAACGAAAGGAATCGACAAACCTTGACTGGTATCATATTCCTTTCTTATTTAGATTTTTAACATTACCTGACCCTGAAGCCCCCGTTTCCACAGAGAAACAAAACAAACCGCGCCTTCATGTTGTTCAGGCTTGCAAGTATGTTTCTAGTTTGATCGAGATTAGTGCGAGAAGGAAATAAAGAAAATAATGACCAAAGAGGAAGGAGATACCAAACAAAAGAGCAATTGTAGGCATCAGAAACTAATATATGCGAAAAAGGCAAAATGAAATTCAACTAAAAGAACACCAGAAGTACAACTAAGTGATCAGTCTTAAATCGTAGCACGTAAAAAGACATTTTGTCAAACTTCCGGGCTCTAGGAATTACAAAAGATTCATAATAAGAAAATAACTTACATAGATACTACTGATTTACATTAAAATACAAAGAAATCGTAGTTATAAATATTGATGCGAGCTCATTAGATGACTGTAACGAAGGAATTAACTGGTCAAACTTAATGAATATGCACATACTAGCTTACAGATAGCTGATTATGAATAAGGGATTAGCTGACCCAGGAACTTAGACAGAGGCTCCAAGGTTGTAGTTTGGAATCCTGCGCAAATAAGTATGTTTTCGGTAGCGTCTGTTGCATGGGGTGCATTCTCAGTACCTCTAAATCTTTATCCATTCGTTTTCCCTTTTCTGGACAGTTACTGGGGATGTCTTTGTGCACGGTGAAGTAACTTGCTCCTTAGGGTCAAAAAATGGTTCAAGCACTGAGACGGTCCCAGACTTTCTTGCCAATGTATCTAATAATCCCGGACGAGATAGACCCTTCGGTCTATCGAGCTACCTCGGCGCTTTGTTCGGGAGCAGGGAAAGGGGTATCGATGAAAGAAATGTTCCAAGAGGAAAGATAGTGGCAGTGAGAGACCTTGTTAGCATCTCAGGCACAGATAGATGGCAACAGGGCAGGGAATCTGGCACCATGAAAAGGTACTCCCCGACCGAAACGACGAAAAAGTACACTTACGTGTTTATTCATTAAAAGCTGCACTCACATGGACCTGATAAGTCCTAATTCATAATTGTTACTCATATACTACGCAATTCTCCGAGTTCTCTCGTCAGACTACATACTCAAACATAAGTTAATTTACATATTTGTTAACAGCTTCAGATAATTTTAAGACAAAATGTATCTTCATCTCATCTAGTCTTAAGAAAAATGGTATCCTTGATATTACGAGGAAATAAGTAAGCAACAAAATTTAACTAATTGATACTAAGAGTTGAGGAAGTACTGAAACTGTGTTCTTCTCTTGAATTTCGAGCAACGATTCAGTTATTTGCAAGGCAACGGAGCAAGAGACCTTGGAGTGAATACATGCAGATTTGCGTGAGTCGGTTTCATCGAGATAAGGAAGCGGGATATCGCAAAGGGCGCACCGTAAGCTTTGGTGACTCCACACCTTTCCAGAGAAATATTCCGAGATTCCAGTAGTCCCTGCTCACCTTAAAGTCTGCAAAATTATCTTCTCAATGCAGTCAATTACGCAATATTTAAAATAAATTCTATAAATGTAAGAGAGACAGTTACATAATTAATAAAAAGAATCTTAAGCCGCGAAGCTTCAGGGAGACTTATTTGTTTCCGTTTCCAACACTTTTTTCTGCTTTAAGGCGTTTCTGAGATAAAGCCTTTCTTTTATGAGAAAAAGGAAGATGTTCCTTTGCTTTTGTAACTCAAAAACTCGCTTGGTTTTGTGACGATTGCACTTTTTTTTTGTACAGTGCTTAGCATATAGTCAGTTATAATGCTGAAAAAACATGTCAATATTTTGACCAAAATTCATGTTTTTAGGGTTCTTGTTACCGAAAAAGTGTTTTTAAAACGTCCGTCCCTCTATCCTTCTCAACAACTATCAACTAAAACCTCGCACAGGTTTTTTGCTGGGAAATTTTGGAAATATAGAGGTGATTAAAAAGGTTCATAGTTTATACAATTTTAAAAGTAGCAGAACATGCCTAGTTTATATTGAAGATATACGTGACGTAAATCAGCCGAAGGAACGAATGTTTCTGATGGAACCCCCCATATATGTCTGAATTTGGAAAAAGTTATTCATTTTAATTTAAATATTATAATTCCGCATAACATTCCAGATACTGCGAAAAAGTCTGGATCACCGTAATATGTCACAATACTATGCACTCTTTTGAGATTTCTTCTACATCTACGAGAATGTCATATAGTTTAGTATGGAAAAAGATTACTAGCTTTTATGAGTAAAGATTCGCCATATCCTGTCTTCACACAAAGTCAACGCTTATTACCCGTTATTTCCTGAGGTATCAACTATTTTTCAGCGTATCAATTCGAATAACACAGTTTCATCTTTTGTACTTACAAATCAGGGGCGGATCCAGAGACAAATTTTGAGAGGGGAAATGAAAAATGTTTTGGTCGAATGTGTCACATTACAGATTTTGTGAAATACCGCAGGCTACACTCTGCTTATGCTGCGGTGCGATTTTATTCGTTTTAATTATATCCGAAAATGTTTTTGCTTGAATGTGTCGTGACAAGTTAAAATGAATAGAAACAAGAAAAATTTAGGGTGGAAATTTTCCTCATTTCCCTCCCTGTGAATCCTCGCCTGTTTAAATCGATATTTATTACTAGTGAAGACTAAAACATTAAATTATCATTAAAAACATGTTAAAATAATCTTGTTACATAATATAAAACATTTTAAAAATTCATATGTTCATTGAAGTTAAATTTTAACATTAACGTTAGCTGATTCATTAATTCGAATAGGAATATATTTCAAAAGATAGCTTTTTATATTCGGTATTGTATATGTTTGCAAGCTCTGATTGTCGATGGCTTTAAAGTGCTCCTGCTCCCAGCCCCTCCGTACGCTAGACGCGCCGGCCAGCGCCCGCCGTGGCTCACCTTGGAAGTGATGACTCGGTTGTCGGGGAAGCCGGCGTTGGTGCGGGTGTCGCCGCCGCCGCCCAGCCAGAGGGTACGGACGTCCCCCACGGACGAGACGCGGTTGCCCTGCGCACCAAGCACAACACCTCGTCAAGCACGCACACACACACCTCTACTAATTGCAACCGACGTGATACCAATTTGTTTGTACTTTTGAGTGGATCAGTGCCAAACTTGCCTAGCCCATTAGGTTTTGAAGGTATTTTTTTCCACACCAAGGTTCTGAAATATCAATTGTGTCAGCACCAAACTTTTTAATTGTGAATGAACGATTGATTTATTTTATTAATTAATTTACAAGGATAACAATAATGGCACTAATAGAGCATCATCATTCACAACCATGCTTCATAGGAATAAGGGACTTCACGACTTCGTGGGTTAGCCAACTCTGGTACTGAACCATTCATTTGTTCGTGTGTGATATGTTTGATCTTCCTGTGAATTACTATTTGTCATGCCTATTAATTAACATTGGTTTCTGACCAGCGTATTGTGCAAGCCTCGTTATTAAGAATACATATGTTTGTATCCATATATTAATGTATTACTGTAAAATACACTCATATGGTTATTCATACTAAATAAAATATGTGCATTAATTTACTTTTGTGATAATGAAATTATTGTCAATAATTTCTGAAAATGTACGCAATACATTCATATTGGGTCATATAAACAAGTGTGTTGTTTATAGTTTGTTAGTGAAACAAACTCATCTACATTCAAACAGTTTGGAATACAGGATTACATAATCTATTGTATTAAACAAACGTTTGCAAAGGGAGTTGTAGAAATATTGTTCTATTTCTACTTCACTATTGAACAGTTTTATTTTACAAATTAACTAGTAATTCTTGCGATCAAAAATAATAATGCTAATAATAATGCTAATACTAATACTAATACTAATACTAATACTAATACTAATACTAATACTAATAATAATAATAATAATAATAATAATAATAATAATAATAATAATAATAATTCTTGCGATAATGCGTGTGTACAAAATAGGCGAAGTGCCATTCGCCTATTTTGTATTACTAAAAGAAAGAAAGAAACAATGAAAGAAATGAGTTTGTGTTCAAGACTACTATTAAATAGATAACACAATTGTCCAATGTATGAAAATGGAACACTTTTCTCACCCCAAAAATAGATTTATGATATTTATTTTTCCAAAGACGAAATGTATACACGTGTATCAAGCTAGTAAAATAAATATTAACCTGCAAATAATGGCGTTTAGAAGATATTTACTAGACTAGAGTATGAAAATGTTTGGTTACAAATTCTTGTTTGTATATGTTCAGCAAAAAAATCTTGATACTAGCACGAAAATAAGTATTAATATGTAAAAAAGGGTGCCGTAACGTAGCTCAAAATAAAAATTGTATTTCTTAGTACGAATAAGGGAATAATAACAATAAAAAATACTTACAAAAACTGCAAAAAATGTATCTAACCTATTAATTTAAAATGTACCACTTTAATAACTTGAAAACCATTAAAATCCAAACCTGAGAAGTTGTTTTTGATATGACGAAGTATTAAACGAACCGAGAAATACAATTGATGAAACATACTTCTCACAAACTCTGCACCAAAACAACAAGAAAACAAAAGCTAGAAAAACGAACAAGTCATAAAAGAAAAAAAGAAGGCATAGGTGCGTATGGCGAACTAAATAGGCAGGTGCCGTGACTTTCATATATTGTTAAAAGAAATGAACCAAAAAGAAATAATGATAACCATATTAACAGATTATCAATAAAAATCGTATTAAAATTTACAATAATAGAAGTCTTCAAAGTATCACAAAACTACTTTAGACACCACAAAAGCACACGTTTCACAACAAAAACCTGATTTTGCAATCGCACCTCTGTGTACACTTTTCTGTGACCTCGAAGGTTTCTCAACATCACAATCCAGGTGAATCGAAGAGCTTGCGTCGCCCATGAGTCATTCTCTTTTGGCATTCTATCACAAGGTTCGTCGAAACGTCGAAACTAACACAGTCTTGTCAAGAATTATACGATATTATAATAGTAATTCTAGCACCCACTCACTCATCGAACTTAAATACCATAATCCTTCTGGGCCACCTAAATTGCCGCCAGCACGATACTGCACAAACCGTAAGAGATTTAGGAGTTTCGTATAAAGCAGTGGTAAAAAAGTAATGGCTAATGCGTCGAGCCAACATAACGAACGGTTAGAGTCAACGTATTTAAAAGTCGTGTGAAAACCAGTCGTTCGCTAGAGCGTTTGTGAACGAGCCCTGCCTCGAGCTGCGACCGCGTCCGCGTAGGCGTTGGGCGGCCGGGTAAGGCGTGCCAGCGCCCCCGCAGCACGCGACTCCCGAGGGCCAGCGACGCCCGCGGGCGCCCGCGCCAGCAGATGGGCGTTACCTGCCGGCGCTCAGCGCCGCGACGCCCGGCGCCGCCCCCGCCGCCCACCGCCCGGCCGGCCGGCAGGCAGGCAGGGTGCCGCGGCGCCGGCGCGAGGGCGGCGGTGGGGACGCCGGGCGTCGCGACGCCGGACTCCGCCGTCGGGCGTCGAGGTCTTCGCCGCGCCGCGTCGGGGGCGGACAGCCCCAGTGCTTACACTCACACGCACTACACTGCCGCACCCGTCGGGAGTTTACAGCTTGTCCCGGCTGGGACGGTGCCCCGCTGGTGGGACGGTATGTCGGCGCCGGATTTCACCATCCAGTGGGGAAATCTCACTATCACCTTACGAAGAAAAAAATGATGCACTACTCCTACGGGACTAATGACCTTAGCAGTTGATGAGCTTGAAATCACTAATCAATCAATCGGAGAGCTCCAGGGCCTTTTAACTCCCATATAAACTGAAGGAGTCCATTACAGTGCGGCACTCTCCTCGTACCTTCGTACACCTTCGCAACTCCAACACCTTCGTACAGGAACGATAATACAAACTGCTACCAGCGTTACTTAAAACGTGCGTGGGTTCGCGAGACGCAAGCAGTTATGTTAAAAAAGATGGCGTCGATAATCGCGCTTTGTTCAGAGGTTTCTTAGAAGTGTTTAATAAATTCTAATATATTACGAATAGTTGAACATTTAGAAGATACTTTTCGTATTTCTCACAAATTAGACATTTTTTTTCTTGCGGGCTAGTTTTACCTGCAGCTGTGTCCGGCAACACTAGCGCCTCTTATCCTAGCCCCCTCCAGCTTTGTCCCCGGTTTTGAATGGCGAGCTCAAATGCCCCGGAGAGCCCCTTTTTAACGCGTGGCCCGCCGCGGCAATGGCCTTCGCGAGGCACATGCGACCTGCAGAGCGCTCTCTCTCTGATCGATGCGGAATGATCGATCGCGCCGCGGTTAAGCCTCGCGTTGATGTAAACTCCGTGACAAAAATAAGATGTCTGCCCGTGATAAGGAATGTGGGCGGCGATGCGTGACGACGATAGCTAAGGGGTTTGGGAGGAACATTGCCGAAATTAGATTCAAGTGTCACTTGTGGAATAGAAATCACGAGACTAAAAAGTATATTTTCTAAACAAAATTTCGCACGATTCTTTTTGTTATAACCGGCACTTCCCTTATTTTCGTTAACGTAGAAAACCATGCACATTTTGCATAGTCTCCAAAATGAATGTCTATAAAATCATGTCTATAAATGAATGTCTAAAATTTAGCATTTAATTTTGTCATTTATAAGTAGCATTCCATATTTATACATATTTCACCCACGGCATTATAGAAATATATGAATTATTCCATAATTATTTTTGGTACAAAATGCAGATGACACCAATGATTGCCTTATTCAAAAATATACATCATATTACTCCACGTTGGTTGTGATAAGCAGATTTTTGCACTTTTTTCTCTGCAATGCTCGGCTAAAAAAATATTTCAGAAATTGCGCTTTCGGCTATGATATTAATTCTACTTGAATAAAAAATAATAACAAAGTTGATATCTGTTCAGTTACTTCAATTACAACTCAGTAGTGCATTAGCAAAGTTAATACCATGGTGCTCAAGTTAGAAGCATTTATGCACCCTTAGTGATACTTATTTCAAATCTTCGAATTTCAAACGGCTGTATACAAAAAAATCAAAACCGAAGCCTTGCATAATTGCTTCGTGGAAATCCCTGTGTTCTCTCAGAGCCAGGTTCATAAGCATGCTAATGGTTTAGTTTCTATGACTGCAGAAATGAGTGACCTTGCAATCTCAGCTACGTACAAATTTCAAGTAGTTCTTGGAAAAGGACGTAGACAAGTGTATCCTCGCAAAAAGGACCTCAAGAACAGAAAAAAATTTGAAGTGTTTATGCCCTTCTTATAGATCAATAACTGAAAATATTTCTTCATAAAATAATATGTTGTTTAATACGTGTATTATTAGTAATTAAATATATAAAATATTCCTTCAACTATATCGCAATTTATTCTGGCAACCGTCGTTGTTCCCCCCCCCTTGCTGCTCTCCGCATACCGAACTGGCAATGTTATGCTACTTAAAGATATCTAAGAGGATTATGCGCTCAAACGCTACAACGGGGTAATTTATTATTTCACACTTGACAATGAATTGTAATGTGAATGAAAATGTTGCATGAAGAAAACAATAAAGGAAAACATACTGGAATTACAAGCCTTTACAGATCTTTGCGGCAATGTCTCAACTATCTTGTTATTGATGAACATAACTATCTATATTAATAAAATAAATAATGTTTTTATTGGTGAAGAGTCTCAAGTCATTTTATCTGCTCTTCCGCCTGACCACTTTCAAAACTTTTATTATACGAGTTCATAATAAAAATGAGGTCATTCAATGAAAATACCGAATTTTAGACTGTCTTTTGACTTTTAAGTCAAGAGAGATGAATAAAAATTGCTACTACACTGACGGAAAAATAGTACTATGATTGGATCTCTACGAGCGGATATTTTCTTTACTCTCACTTAGAAATGAATCAGTGTTTCTCCTTCGCGAGCTGTTCAAGGAAAGCTGAGAGTCAAGGCAAAATATCCACGCAATTGTACTACCTTGATTCCGTGGAAAAGGGCGACCTTAATACGTCTGCTTTGATGTAAATTGGCATTTCATTACCAGGGCGATAGTAATAAAGAGGTACATGTTAAATATTTAGTCAATTTGTTCCGTTACATGTATTTAAACCATTTCGCAAACGTCATTACACACTTATTAATAAGAACTATTGTGAACTATTTAGTACAATGAAAAAAACGTTTTGTATCTTTCACATCGTACCTTCGTCTGAATTTCAATTTAATAATAGTTCACTTATTCATTCAAATAAGTGGTAGGATGGACTATTGTGTTAATGGAGGCAAACTATCACAAAAACCAAAATAAAATGTCAGTCCTTTCCGACTGTTATAGAAATTTGTAACAATACAATCAATTCCGTTCTATTTGTGAATGGTTCCGTCACAATAGAAAAATAGAAAGCGAAGCGAAGCATCAAGTATTTTCCCTTTGTCTTTACAATTCATTTCTTTAAACATGTATTTCAAGCTCATCAACAACTACTAATCAAGATGACACGTTTGAAAAGTTTTTGCTTACATTTGGCATTTTGTTGCCAGTGCCTAACCCGTAAACATTACATTCCACATGGAACGTCCACATTCCTCTGGGAGAGCGAGGGTCGTTTGGTATAACAGCATGTAACATTACATGGAACGAAATATTGACGTGACACTTTTTCCTTTACAGCAGTCAGAAGTCGTTCGCTAAAACAGCGTATAACCACATCTTTGCTACCATACGATTTGCGCGTGAATTTGGAATCATCTTTGAGAGAAAAGAAGCCACTATATCACACAACTTTGTCTGCAGAAATAGAGTTGTTATTGCACCAAGCACAACGTAATCAGAACTACGTTTAGTCTCGCGGAGGCAGATCGACGTTGCAAACCAATCTGGTCCACTACTTCTGAGGAATGAGTACGATTACACTGATACACCCTAATATCGCTACTAGTTTTAACATTAGCTCAACATGCAAGGTTTGCAATGTGCGAACAAATGTAAGTCGTACGTTTGATTACATGAATGTAGTCGTGAGCCCATACACTATCTGCAGCCCGCACGAGGCTTTTAATGCACTTAATTGAGCTTTGTCAGCGATCAGCCTACTGTAAACATTTTTGAGATTACTATACTGCATTAATGGGGAAATTGATGTGTTCATCGATATTGAGAATTGTAAAGAAAGAGCTAAGGCTTTTTCGAGGTCTGGTTACGTTTTGTAAAGTAATAAATTACTTCCAAAATTTTCTACGATATTGATAAACAGACTATTTTCACTTGCAAACTATTGCGGTACAAAACAAGATCAATCAAAATGAATAGTAGATTCCATTCCTTTTTATGATTTATGAAAGGAGTTTACGTACTTGCTGTGTCTTAATTGAAGGATAAAGAATATAATTTTATATTTACCTGCTCTTTTGGGCGATTGGAAAAAATATGGATTTTCTCACCAATCATCAATGAATTCTTTGATATCTGAAGCATTTCGCGAGCAAGTGGGTGAAGCTGAATACAGTATGCTCATCTAATTAATCGAATAACTTTATGATGATTAGATATTGAATAGGTAAAATATAAAATTGCTGTAAAATTATCGCAGATAAGAATTCCACTCTAAAAATAAATTATAGCGAATTCGCAGAATTCCTTCCAGCTGCAAACCAAAGCCCGGCGCCGCGCCCAAGGGCCGAAGTCGCTCCAGCTGCTTACGCGCATGCGCCCGGGCGACGCCGGCTGCGGTCGTGACTGGGCTCCGGCGGAGCGGAAAGAGCTTCGCAAAAACAACGACTCCCCCCCAGAGGCCACCCTCTCGTGGCGGCGGCGGCGGCGGAGCACGTTACGTCACTCGGCGGTGGGGCAGCGGCGCGCCACTCGCTTCGTCCGTCCGTCCGGCCGGCCGGCCGTCAGTCAGTCAGTCAGGACGTCAGACAGTCCATCATTCAGTCCATCATTCAGTCCATCATTCAGTCCATCATTCAGTCCATCACTCAGTCCATCACTCAGTCCATCATTATCCCATCATTCAGTCCATCATCAGTCATCATTCAGCATCCATCATGTCAGTCCATCAGTCAGTCATCAGTCAGTCCATCAGTCAGTCCATCACTCAGTCCCATCAGTCCACTCAGTCCATCACTCAGTCCATTCACTCAGTCCATCACTCAGTCATCACTCAGTCCATCACTCAAGTCCATCACCAGTCCA